CAAACCCCCTCCCCACCCATGCATTTCTCTACCATCTTTCATGCAAAGGTTTCCTCACCTTTTCCAAACAAACCTTACTGCACTTGCACTGCAAGTGGCAGTATTTTACAACCCAAGCAGCTTTTGCCAGTGGCTTGCATCAGAAATCCACAGCCACACTATGGGTTTTTCTCTAGGCCTTAAAGTCCTCAGAAGCTCTGATAATAATTCAAAGGACAGTATTTCCTTCACCCCGGGAGCAGGATGAGGCACCACTACCTGGTTCCCACCAGCCAGGTCTCTCACCTGCCTGTAGAAAGTACAAACAGCCGGGAGCCTGCGGCCCCCTTTCCCTCCTGAGCCTTTCCCAGCAGCCATCCTCAGCCTCCTCCGCCATTGTTTACCTCTGTAACTCTAGTCCTTCCTACTGCAGAAGTGGCAAGCAATGGCCCACCAGGGCCCATGCAGGGACCCCCTGCCCCACGGTGGGTGCCCAGGGGCCCAGCCACAGCCCTCCATTCTGGGAAAACAAGGTGAAGTAGTGGAAGTATTTAGGGGATGACGGCAAAGGAGATAGAGATGGGCCAGCTCAGACCAAAACCTGGGCTTTAACCAGCTAACCACAGGCAGCATTTGCTTGGCCACCCACACACAGGCCAGTCCCATCAGCCATAATTAAGCGGTCATTTGTGCTGGGTAACTCGTTAGCCTGGCAGGTGCCCTGACAGCCCCCCCGCATGGCATCCCACGGCCCAGTGCCAACCTGAGGAGCTGCCTGTAAAATTAAAACATACTGAATTCACTGAACCAATACACAAGACAATAGTAGACTTTTTTCTTCCATCTTTGACCAGATTTGGCAACTTTACAAAGATATTTCATCTGCTTTTATGGATATTCTGGCTTTACATGATTTTTGAGTGCACCTCTATTTAATGTTTTAAACAACATTCAAAGCCATCTGTGCCACTGGCAAAAAGCTAGGTTGAGCAACAACAGTCTGTGACACCTGCGTAAAGTTAACAGCAATCAGAAAGACTTTTTTTTAATATATATATATATAAATGCATGTGCATGTGTGCATAGAGCAGAGGTTCCCAAGCTTTCATTTTGTTATTATTAGGAGCAGTGGTTACTCCCAGCTCTGTATCAGAGGCAGCAGGTCTGCTGTTTGTGCACCAAGGTAAGAGCTACTAGAGCTCTTGAGACAGCAACCAGAGAGTCTAGCCAAGCAGCTTCTTAAAAAAACAAAACAAAACAAGCCCCAAACAAACAAAAAACCCCAAACAACACCCCCCAACACACACACTTTCATCTACTTGGTTCAAACAACGCACACACATTCCCATTTCTTGTCTAGTCTCACAGGTTAATTTTTACCTCCTAGAACAAGCAGAATGGTTCCTTTTCCAGAGAACAGGTCTGCTCTAGCAGACCGATTCCAACTGTATGATGGGCAGAGCAAAGGTTTCCACCAAGCACACCCCTGCTGTTAGTGCAGTTCATCAGGTAGCTACTAGGAAACAAAAATAATTCTGTGACAGCAGCCGTTTGTCTTAGCAAGTCTTTGGCTGTTGTGGGCATGCATGAAGCGGCATCTCACCCACAAATACAATGAAGTCAATTGATTCTCACATTTGCTGTTTCTTCCTTCCGAGTTACAAAGCTGTGATTTGAATTTCGGTGCAGACTGCTTGCAGAAGAGGCCTATATAATACTTCAGTCCTTTTCAAACACTCTACAAAGATTAATTGATTGCTATTTAGTATGTAAAAAGTATTTAACTTTTCAGCCAGTTCTAACAAAGTATTTGTTTTCTGCGAGATCAGAGAGGTACTCTTAACCCGGTTTAAAGCTGCCATTACAGAAACTTGCATTCATTGTTGATAATGTACCTATTGAATGTGCATCTATTTAAGAACTCTCTGTCAGAGTTTTTTATTCAAGGGGCCTCACTGAAGAAAAGCAGCAGAATTCTGGCAATAAGTACAATCTATGCATTTAGCAATTTATAATGCTTCAGTAAGCTTTTGAACATTTACTATCTGAAAGTGCAGGCAACAGGAAAAGTAATTCAATAGAAACATATGTTGAGCCAACATGTTTAGAGAAATGAATCCCAGTGTTTAGAAATGAGAGAAGTTAATTCCAGTCTAGTTCCAGTATTTTAAAAATGCTGCTTGCAATAGAAATGTGCTCACTTATTACTTTAAGAAATTAGAATAGGCTAAAACAAAATATTCTAATATAACGTCAATGTTATTGCTACTTTTAACCCAATGCTTTTGAATAATTATCTTTTTCTAGTCCAAATGCTGTCTCCCTCACTGCTACTACATTTAAATAAGCCACTATTGAGAAAACAAACAGAAAACAGAAAAATGAGCTGCCCTAGCACTCTTACCAATGGGATGCTAACGCCAGCACTCAAAGGAGAAACTGTCAAAAAAGAACAGCCATAACAGAGAATTTCTTTCTTACATATTTTTATTGTATTGGGGTTTCTTACATTCTTTGATGGAATTTTTATGCAATTATTATGCCACAATCTACGATACACAATGAAAATGGAAACCCGTCATTTACCACTTACATTTCTATGTTAATTTTTATTTTCTACCTCTGCATATACTGTGGCATAAGTGCATTTATCATATTTCATGCAGTACTGACCTGCAAACAGAATACAATAAACAGTGCCAGCACTATTTAGCTGCACTCAATTCTTGCCACAGAAACAAGCATTCGTAAAAGCATTAAAATACTTTGGATGATGGTTACTGCCTATCAGCTTAATGTTTTGAGCTATAGAAATGGACAGGAGACAGTATTTGCTGCTGTCAACTGCAGTACTTTCCACATTCAATAGGTTTGAAAAGACTGAATTATCTTAAATGTTTCAATGAGGGAAAAAGCCCAAGGCAACCAGCCTGATTTAAAAGGATGCTACCGAGTTTCACGAACATTAGACTAAGTTTGGTTCTGGATCCCATGGCAAGTACCTTACCACATTAATTTTACGCTCTGACAGAAGGATATTTTTTTCACCATCATGTTGTCTCCAGGCCAAACAAAGGGACAGCATAAGGCACACATCCCTTTTTGGTAACCTGCTTGGACAAGTAGTACCTGATCATAGCTAGAAGTTTTGAATACAGCTTTTTATTTTGACAAGACAAGATGCTCTCCAGCATCACCTGACTCTCTGAATCAGGCATAAACTGTCAAGCCTTATTATGTCACAGCCAATACAGCAGCAGCGGGGTAAAACTTACTGCCAAGAACACAAGTATGTCCCAGGAGCACACTCAGGACAGGGAATGGGGGTGAAGTGTCATCTATGTGTTTTCCAGTCACTTGTTAGGATGCATCAGAGTGGCTGCTCAGCAGACCTAGCATAACCCTCCAGGCACTGCAGGGGCACTGGGCCCTTCTGCAGCTAGTTACCGCTTCCCGCTTTGACACAGGCATCGCCATTCCTCTGCATCCTACCACACCACTTACTCTGTTAATCGAGCAGTTCCCTCTGCCAGCCAGCAGAAAGAAGGGAAGAAGTCTCCTGTCACTACAGTCTAGCGTTGCAGAAACCCACAGTCACAAGGTTCACCCAGACCCAAGCTCTCCTGGGGGCAGAGGGAACAGGACTTCTGACAACACTAGTTCTTGTATTAAGAGGGGAGAGGAAAGTGGTGCCCACCTGCCTTCTAGCACTGTGGAGGAAGCACAAGCAGAGGCACTCTGAGACCACCCTGCTGTGCAGTGCCTCCCAGGAAGCCAAGCACTACTTCCCAGGAAGAGAAACAACCCCTGCTGTTCTCTCCCCTCCAGCACCTGCTGTACATCAGCCACCTTACACAGAGCCAGCTCTTGAGGTGGTTCACTTTTATGTCCATACTGAAAGTACATGGCAATTGATATCCTAATTGACAAGTAAACACAAAGGGGGAAAAAAGAAAAATTGACAAAAATCAATTACTACTTGTACAAAACCACAGCACGTGCCTTTGGTCAATCAGCAACTGTTGCTTGCTCACCTTCCTCTTAACATAAAAAAAGGTGACTAAATCAGGAACTGCCACTTCAGAGTTGAATTAGTATCAGCAAGGAGACGCGAGGCAGGGATTAGCACTGGACAAAGCAGAGAACCCGCTCCTTGTTGCACAAACACAGATTTCTCATCCAAATGCCACCTTTTTACAGGTGCTACCAGGTCAAAGAAAAGCAGATCCTAGTAGTTTGGTGAGGGAAAGAGTGTTCAGCCAAAACGAGGATGTTCACAGGACCCCACAGTTCCCTAATACCACAGAGCATCAAAGCAGGCAGCCCAGGGAGTGGGAGCAATTGGTGCTGTCACCTCTTACTTGTGAAGTCATTTGACGCTGAATTCTCCTGCTGATCACCCACTGCTCCATCAGCTGTGGTCTTGTGTAGACATCTTCCCTCCCCAGCTACCCCCAGCAAACCTTTTCATGGTCCCTTTTATTTCTGCCTTCATCACCCTCCTCCAGCTTATACCCAAGTAATCCACACCACTTTTGTTGTCACCCATAGTTTAGCAACTTTGTAATCTGACTCCCTATTTCCAGCCTCCTCCTCACATCACCAGGCTACCTTACCATCTCCTTCCAACAACCATACTCAGTACACTTCTCTACCAAAGTCATCTATCAACTCTTTGCTTTTTGGCTTCATTACTCCTCTCCAATATATCTAGAAATAACTGTCAACCATTTTCCTTGTAACAATGCACCTTGTTTACGTAGTGGCTCCCAAATGTGCTCTTCTTTTTCAGGGATGTGCGTAACTATCATGCTGTCCATGCCTGTCCTACTTACTTACAGTAATTAGTGCCCGCAGACTGAGATTAGAGCCTCACTGAGCTAGCACTGTATCTTTGGACAGGAGACTCTGCTTGTGCCAGAGAGGTCCCAATCTAAATAGACAAGTGACAAAAAATGGTGGAAGGTAAGTTGGAATTTTTTTTTTTTTCCTTACAAACTGGGGAGCAAGGTGCAGATTAATGAAGTCAGCTGCTGGATCGTTTTATCTGGTAAAGGAAAAGTATGTAACTTCCAGTATTTTTCCCACTTTTATCTCCTCTTTCGGATGGAGTGATTTGAGAGACTACTAGTCAGAGATGGGTCGGTGCCCTGCAGTCAGAATGTCTTTCCCTCAAAGGCCTCCAGGTTGAAAGCTGTGTCCAAGAACCTTCTGAGTGATACCAGATGCGTGTTCTTGTTGCCTGTGGCAGCTGCAGCAGCAGGCTCTCGGCCAACATACCTTTGTGACAAAAAGAATTGGGCAGACAAATGAGGTGAGAAGAGAGACTATTTTGACACTAACAAGCAAGAGAACATGCTGCTAAATGCATTCAAGTCAGCTTGGCAGATTTGGACATTTAATCATCAATCTTTCTTAAATAAAAATCAATCTAAGTTGCACCATCAGTTATACCTTCTGGTCAGCTTCCCCCTCTTTTCCCCCTCCCATCAATATTAAGCTGTGTCTTCTTCCCCATCCCCCCCAGAGCAGCCAGCTACACTGTCTCATAATTAGGTAACTTGCTTTTGGCGATCAAGACTCTCATTCCTCCAACAGCTGCATGGGCAGATCCGAGAGTCAATTATCTAAAATAAATGCAAAGGTACCTGGACTGAGCTCTTACAACAATTGTTTCCTCCAGAAACCTAATATTTGGAGCGAAATTCTTAAAAAAATGCAGAATCTTAGACAATAAGAGAGAAAATTCCAGGATAGCTAAGTGCTGTGCTAAGTGACAATAAATACAGAGCTAGCTGCTACTGATTTTCTTTTAGAACTACAAGGAGGAGCAGCATATGCATGATGCATTTGAGATAGTCATCTAGACTTTTGCCTCCTTCATCCAAGAACCCAAACTCAGAGGTTCTGATTTGTGAAGAACCTGACTTCCCCAGGAATAACATCCTCAAATCAAAAACAAATTTAAAGAAAAAAACCCCAAACAAAACCAAACCAAAAGAAGCCTCAACCAAATTTAAAAGCAAACAAATCAGCCCAGGAGACGGAGCAATTCTTTAAAGTCTCATACCATATAGGTCGAGTGTGGTTCACAATAGTGCGGAAACGAGGTTTGACATAATCATAATATCCACTGTTTTTGTGTTCCTCCTGACACCAAACTAGATCAGCACCTGGATACTTCTCAAGTTCTTCTTTCAGCAAGTCAAAGGGGAACGGTGAGATCTGGAAAGAGAGGGTAATAACTGGCAAAGCTTTCCCTTACATGGTGTTAGCCCATGGTAGGAAAGCCTTTTATCTATCAGGTATTACAACCACCCATTGTAATTAACCATTTAGTACCTAACATAATTGCTATATGTTCTTTAAAGTGACTCGTATTTCTTTAATTGATTTCATGCTGTCAGAAGTGAATACACACATATTTTATAGTTGTACCAGTATGAACAGAAGTAGGTCATAGTCCAGATCTCCTGCATTCCTACAGTTTTTCTAGTGAAGTAGCTGTGACAATACAAGTCCTTAATTAGTGAATGACAATATAGCTGCAAAGTGTACTTATTCACAACGTTTAAACCTAGCAGGTTGGATATACAAATTTAAGGTGCCATAATATTGTAACCTTCACTTTGTCACGTTGTTCTGGAAAAGTTACCAAGCTTTCTGGATCTCATTGTCCATGTCCTGGTTTAACCCCAGCCAGCAACTTAGCACCACGCAGCTGCTCACTCACTTCCCCCCCCATCCAGTGGGATGGGGGAGAAAATCGGGAACAGAAATAAAAATTGTGGGTTGAGATAAGAACAGTTTAATAGAACAGAAAAGAGGAAACTAATAATGATAATAACACTAATAAAATAACAGTAATAATAAAAGGATTGGAATATACAAATGATGTGCAGTGCAATTGCTCACCACCTGCTGATCAACGCCAGTTAGTCCCCAAGCAGCGATCTCCCCACCCCTACTCCCCCAGTTTATATACTGGGCATGACGTCACAAGGTATGGAATACCCCATTGGCCACTTTGGGTCAGCTGCCCTGGCTGTGTCCTGTGCCAACTTCTTGTGCCCCTCCAGCTTTCTTGCTGGCTGGGCATGAGAAGCTGAAAAATCCTTGACTTTAGTCTAAACATTACTTAGCAACAACTGAAAACATCAGTGTGTTATCAACATTCTTCTCATACCTAACTCAAAAACATAGCACTGTGCCAGCTACTAGGAAGACAATTAACTCTATCCCAGCTGAAACCAGGACAGTCTAGTACACTCTTGATGTGTTCCTTCTCCACAAGGCCATGAAGGATTAGATAATGTCTTGTAAGATGCAAAGTGCTATAAAAATGCTATCACCATCCTTTCTGGCAAGTGATATCTATTTAAAAGCATAGGAATCCCTTGCTGAAAGTCTCCCCAAGGACCCTGTCTTCTGAGGATCAGGGAGCTCACCTGTTCAAGCCTGGTTATAGCTACTTGTTTCTCCAGGTCTTGATTCTTTCTCTCTTTCACAAGATCATAGTATACTTTTCCTGTGCAGAAAATCACTCGCTTGACCTCATGTGGTGCATGAGCTGCCAGCCCATTCTCAGGAATCACACGTTGGAAAGTGGTACCTAGTTAGAGCACAAATTAGAAAAGTGATCTCAGTGAACTGCCATTGTAATAAAGCAGCCCAGGAAACAGTCCTTTACTGAGCAAGCAGCAGGTTGCAACAGTCACGGCGTTCTGCTGCCTCTCTACTCCTACTTTTCAGACCAGTAATTCTGCTAAAGTGCTAAGCAGTTTAGTTTCAAGAAGTTAAAAGACTGTCAATAATCCACTCTTCCACACTTAATAGACAGAAACATATTAACAGTGGATTCTTTTTTAGCTTTGTGTTGCGCATTACACCTTCAATTTTAAATTTATTGGATAGCTCACCTTTACGTCCCTTTTTTTTTTTCAGAGAATTACCTGAAATATTGTTTCTTCTTTCCAAGATGATCTCAACCACGTAACATTAATATAGGTTTAGAAAATTTTAGAACATTTTCATATAAAAGCATAACACATTCATAATGCAACTAAATCTGGCAACTGGAGAAATATTTACACAAGCACACACATTACTGCCATAAATTTATGTGATTTAAACCTTTGTTTGAGAGCTAAAACAGCGTTAGCCAAAGGAAGAATTAGCATAGTACTGAGCCATATGTTTAAGTGGTAAGATACAGTATCAGATGCATATCCTCACTGCTAGATATCTTTTCCCTATGATATCATCTCCCAGGAGAACAATTTGCTTGGGATACATGAAACTGGAAGAGGGACTTGATGGTCTAAAAGATCCTTTCCTTTGCTCTCTTATATGATTGATTAGAACTATTCCCACATTAACCAACTGCAAGGTAGCAGACAGTGGCATGACCTCCCAGTCTGAATTAGCACACCCACTTACCAGGAGAATAAGCTCCTGTTTGAACCATTTATCTTGAGGGGAGAAAAGCAGCAGCATGACCATATGAAGGAGGGACTGATTTATGTCAGAATTATCCTGTCTCACTGAACAGCAGAATTCTTCATTAAAAAAGACTGAATCTGCGCTTCATTGGGTCAGCTAGAGTCACTCTTCCTCTCCTTCTCAGCTTTCCGTTAAAAATAGAGCAAAGAGAGTTAGCTGAGAGTCAGCAATGCTTTACTACTTGCTGTCCTCTTCAGCAGGAACATGAAAGTATGTCAGAATTCAATGTTAATTAGGAGCTTGGCCACTGTTGAGTATTAGCCTGAAGTAGAGGGGACTCCCAAGACAAAATGACAAATCTCAATCTCTACAGAATTTCTAATCTGACTAATTCAAAAAAGCTTTTAAACAGTAATCAAAACCAGCAAATGCCTTTGCTTTAGAAGCAAACTTTACTCACCAACAAAAAGGAGATAATGCAATATTTAAGCATGTTTATATACTGTAACTTGCTTTTAAAAAACCAAGCAGTTAGTTACTCTTTGCTGAAAGCGGTCAAGACACCCACTAGAACTGGAGTCAGACCACCACACCTATCCTCTCCACACCCCTCTCACTCTGAATAATCACTTTAATCACTCACTTCATTTCACTACATTTCCTCATGCCACTCTAACATGTTCTAACCAGTGCATGGTAAGACAAACCCCTCCAGTTTTTGGTATTACCTCTGCAGTTGCTACATATCTCTTGGTGCTGATGGCATGCCAACAACAGCTGGAGTGGTAGCCTACAGCTCTGAACTTAACTGATCTCACTTCAGATCACTGGCGTGACATAGAAGCCCCAGAACTGAGCATTTTAAGAAGAAATAGGCCCCTCATTCTTCCAAATGGGCACAGTGTGATTACAACCTATCCCTCACATCTGGGGGCAGAGGGGCAGTACAAAGAACGAGTCAATTTTTATATGAAGAGAAAAAGAGCAGAGGGACCTAACAGCCTATTGAGAGGAATATCCCTGCAGAGAGGGGAATGCATTTTTCACTGCCTTTAAGATTAACGGTTGATTACAAGAGAAGCCTGTTAAAATTAAGAATCTGTACTTGATAGCAGACTTTTCAGCAAAAGTCCATACTAGATCTCACTACAACAGCTCCACAGAAATTATGCCAAAGGAAAAGGCAAACTCCCCAGAGCAGATTCTCTTCTTCAGTCTGACATGCAACTTGGTATAGCTCATTATTTGTCCACAATACTTTAAGGTGACCTACCAGACACCATTTCATCAAAACTGGATTTAGCTTCTGGATGCCTCAGCAGTGACTTGGGTGTCAAAATAATCAGCTGTAAGACAGAAATATTTCCAACACTCAGGAACTGCTTTATCTACATTATTACATGCAACATTTGTAACACTGTTCATACAAAAACCACAAACTGAATATGCTATAGATCAAATTAATGTGAATAGCAAACACAGTAAATTATTTTTTTCCTGTTTTGAAAGCCTAGGAAGTTTCAAAATTATTCAAAAGATTTAGGTACTCCACTCACTTTAAAGGTTCTCAAAAACCATTGCTTATGCTTCTTTTTTGAGAACAAAATGAAATCACAGGCTATGAACCAGTAATACATTCAACAGTTTTATCTTAGGTTTTTGAAGTTTCAGCAATTAGACATGCAGATTATAGTTATGTAACCTGTTAGGTACATTGTGTCTTGACAAGCTCATCTGAAGGTCTGCACAGCTAGAAGGAAGTAAAGCTGAAAATTAAGTTTTACTAAGTCGGAACTGAGTTTCATTCCGTCAAATCAGCGATTTCAACCTGTGTTCAATTAAGGTTTTTCACCAATGATTCTTGTTCTTTTCAGCAGTACGTCATACACAAAGAAAGACCCCGCTTTATGTGAGGGTTAATATACCTAGAATAACCAAGTCCATCACAGTAACTTTACCGGTTTTCTGAATGGCAGCAAGATCTGTCTTCTGAGGACGTGAAAGTAATTGGCTGGAGTTGAACAATTCACCACAATCCAGTTGCATTCATACAGCTGGGAGACTTCAAACTGCTCACTGAACTCCTGAGAGAGACATTAAAGGCGTTAAAAAAACGTCTAAAAGATCAGAAAAAAAGGCCTGAAAGCCATCCTTCTATTTCTGACTCTTAGCAACTCCCTTCCTCAAAAAACTTAATTAGCAGATCTCTGCTGAGATTATATTATTAGCTAGGGAAGCATCCCTACAAATCATTCTCTTCTGTTTCTACTTCTTCCCAAAAATGTATGCAAATAAATGCAAAAAGCTTCCATTAATTTCGGCAAGCTGGGAAGTCCAGGATGGAAGGGTGAGGAGGACTAGGACTTCAGTAGGTGGAAGACAAAATAGAACCCCTTTGAAAGGATCTTAAAACTATAATTCATTTTTTGAGTGTATAGTTAACTCTCTCTCCCCCCCATTTTTTGGTAGGTGTCCTGTCCTCTTATACTATATTTTAATACATAAAATTCATACGGTTTATATTTATGTATTTTACAAATATGGGGGGGGGGGGATCCATATCTACGTGCATATATATTATTAGGTAAGCATGTCTATAGGTATAGGTGCAATAATCTCATTACGGATTGGTACAGCACCTAACATGATTTCCTGGTCCATGGCTTGAGCTCCTACCTTCTATGATAAAATTTCTAACTTGCTTATTGCGTGCAATTGACAGTGCTTAAATATAGTCAAACAAACAGGTCTTTATTCTGCCAGTACACTGACAAAAATCACTTTTAGATGAGGAGGAACATGGCTTTGGAACTATCATTGCCCCAAGGGTAACAAACCCAAGGCCCAAACGGAAACATACATTTTATTCTGCTTTTTTTTTTAATTGGTGGGCTTTTCAATTAATGTATAGCAGTGTTTCTTAGGAAATCTGCAGCAGGGAAGTGGATGCCCAGTATCCTGTAGAGCTATGTACTTTATCTGTAGAAATGAATGACCAACGTATGAAGGTCTTAGCTGAATCAAATTTAGAAGTTGCTTATTTTGGTGTTCCCAGCAGTACTATTTAGCTCCACTGCAAAAAGCCAGGTGTAGTCTCACTTGGCCTCCTTCAGAAATTAGCTAGAGACACCTATTTGCAGTATGCACAGCAATATAAACAAGCAGAATCACTGGCCCTGAGGAATAGCCATAAAAAGATCATGCTGCCAGAGATTAATTGTATATGACCTCAGCTTTGCAATGAAGCAGCACATACTGCATACTTCCATTACTCTTACTGGGATCAAGTTAATGTTACACCAAGGCCTGAAGCTAAATCTTACCCCACTATACCTAGCTAAAAGGATGCTTCTTACAAAGAAAAAAATCTCTGAGATGTGAAAAGCAAAAAAAGGACATGGCCTTTGACAAATCTACTTACTGGATAAGCATCAGAATCATCATTGCTCATCTGCAGAAACCTCTCAGGCCTGGCTGATGAATGCTCTGGACCCTGGTAAAGGTATCATTTAAAACAACATTAAAAAGCCAAATCAGCAGTTAGACATCAGTCTAGGTCACGCTCTGCGTAAGTACCTCCTATCACCCTGGCAGCTCTGCACCAGGCTGCACATGTGCCCCCCCCAGCCAAAGGCATCAATGGCAGCAGCAATAGGAAGAGAGGACACACTGCAGGACTGGAATTCTTTGTCTTCTATAAACTGTTTTCATAGGAGAAGATTAGGTTTCACATGGATTTCCAATGATTTCACCATCTGCAAGTAATTTCTAGCTTCTGTATAGCTGTACAATGAAGACCAGTGAAAGGGCAGTAGGTCCATGGGGGCACAAGAACAACCTTGCTTATGCAGGGCAAAAAGGAGCAGAAGGAATATCAGGAAGTGAAACACCACATGCGTCAGTGTACTGCAGTGACTCACACTTCTTTGGGCCAAATCACAGTTGCATGCTGAACAGGAGCAAACACAAAAAGTTAACTGCCGACTATCTTTGCTATATTAGCAACAAAAGCAGACTCAGGATCTCTCTCCTACCATTGTTCACTGTTCAGTACCAGACAAAATAGCCTAGGTGAATGCTTCAGCTAAAATGGATCAAAATACACGTACACATTATCTGCCAAACTAACCTATGATTAATTTCTGCCTCCTCGGGAGGTATTTTACGTTCTGTCAAAGTACTGAATGCTCACATCCACTGCCTCACTAGCAGTACCCAAGGTAATTTCTCTTAGTGCACAAAGATTGTTAGATCCATTTTACACTAGCAAAACACGCATGCTGGCCACAGACTATATCAGGAATAAGGAGTATAACAGAATCTGTTATCTTTCCTCTCATGTCCTTGTTTATAAAGGATGAGAGAAAGCTGTGAGGAGTACGAGAATGCAGTATGCTTTTTTATTTATTGCTAATGCTGGCAGCCTTTGCTTGTTCAAGTGACAGTTACTGTTAGGAAGGACTTTCATTTTGGAGACAGCTGCAAAGTACTTTAACGTGAAGTTATAAACTATTACAGCTCTCAAATCTCTCCATGACTCCTAAGCTAACAATGTTCATAAAGAGCTTTTTTCTTTATATGGCCGTCTCTCATCATAACTTCCTCTGTTGAAACCTTAATATATGATCTCCAAAATCACTCATTTTTCTGACAGCTAGTAGTCCACCTTGATTCAACACATCATCCTCCCTGATTTCAAGTGCAAGAGTCACTCTATGGACTAAGGGAATTCAAAGGAAAAAAACAGTCCACCAGCAACAAAGGAGTAACATAAACAGCCAAGAACTGTGCCTTGCATAACTACTCTTTTGAAGTCTGTCTCCACTTTTGAGGCACCAAATAATCTGGTCATAGATGGGTAAAGGCTTGAGAACAAGCAGCAAAGTCGCGCAAAATTATGGTGCATAGTAACAGTCCAATATTGCAATACCTCTGCTGTATACATCTATTTGCTGTAAATCAAATCCTACACTAAGTACAACCTATACATGCACAAACATAGTGCTTCACAAGCACACTGAATTCAGTAGGCTGGAAACTGAGATGTTACTAGCAAACAATTAAAGGAGAGACACGTGAGGCTTCCCTCATACACACATACGCTGCCCCAGCAACAACCTCAATCCAGAGCTTCAATGTTCACATCCATCTTTGATTTCTCTGCTGACACCGCCAGTCACGTTGCCAGCAACTGCTGCGTGGGATGGCATAGGGTTTACTGTGACCACCTACCCAGTGAGACCTATACTGAATCCATTAGCTACTTTCAGATGAGTCCCCAAGGAGCCATTAGGCAGCAGAGTCTTTCAATCACAGCCAACTTGCCTGTGAATGCATGACCTAAAGGTGAAGGGATCCATATCCCATTACGAATCCTTCCCCAAATCATTCTGTCCCCAACACTGTAGTTATAGAGAGAATAACGCTTCTGTAATGGAAAGCTCCTCTGGGAAGATAACAGATTTCAACAGCCTGGTGGGATTCTTCAATATTATGAAAACACCTGACACTAGTAGCAAAATCAGCGTGTTTCAGAAGATCTGGGCAAAACTTAGCTGCCAAGTGGCTAAGAGAAAAGAAAGATTAACTGTATTTTAAGTAGCAGAGAACGAGCTCCCTTCAGTGGAGTGCTTCCCCGCAGAGGATCACACCTCCTGCTGAGGGCACATTCAGGCTGTCTCTCAAGATTCATTTTAAAAAAATTAATTTATCAAAACTCTTGTGAACAGTGTCAGACCCTTTATTCTTTACGCGCAAATGGGTATGGAAAGCCATTAATAAGATATGAATGCACCCCAGTATATCAGGACAGGATTATAATTGAATGGAAATAAACTGAACTGTTTGTGAGAATGGAAATGACGCAGTTTGTAGTGAAAGGGTCTAGAGCATTTATACAGATGGAGATATATATACACTGTGGCACATACTATGCTTTTCTTAATAGAAAACTAGAAACATACATGCATCAATTCATGAATGTTGATGCACTTGAAAAGGAGAAAAATCAACATAGCCTGATATGATGTTCATGTAACTTTAAAAAATAATCTAAAAGATTTGAAGAACAATTCTACTGCTGCTATGAACTTCATACATTATATACAGAGCGTGCCCATGCCCTTTCCCTTTAAGACACTGTCTAGTTCTTCCTACTAGCCACCAAAGAAAAGTCAACAGCTAGTAGAAACATTTTCCTTTCCAGAAAGAGGGAAATTTCTTATTATATCAAACTTACTCAATGTCAGTGATTTTTGAAGAAGTTTTAAAGCTGTTTCATATCATTTCATTGCAAGTTAGTGCAGAGTTTACACAGACATACTTCATGCAAAATAAAACCAAGCAAGTACTGCTAGACACTAATGATTTCTTTCTTACTGTACACTAAGAATCCAGCTTTCTAGGGAAAGAAGGCAGTGTCTTAGGGAAAGATAAAAAGATACCAAAAAAAGGGAAAGAAAAAAGAAGAGAATGGGAAAAAGTGGTACGTGCCACTAAGAAGGACACAAAGCTAAGAGCTCAGAAATATTTCTCAGGTTTTTTTGGTTCTCACCAATCAATCTGTCCACATTCTTTTCTGTAGCACTGAAGCAGTCCAACATGCTAAACAGTGCCTTCCTCCCCCCAGCTTTGTATCACTATTGGATCCCCAAGACACCTTTGGCTTTTACAGCCACAGAGGAAGGCACAGTAGGCAGCATTTCCCTGCCGCACATGCCAGCCAGCAGCTCTCACCATTCCTTCCATTCCATGTGGCAAGAGCAGGACGATCCCGTTGTGACGAACCCACTTGGCCTGGCCGGAGCTGATGAACTGGTCTATTATACACTGCGCCGTGTTGTGGAAGTCGCCAAACTGGGCCTCCCAGCACACCAGGGCATTGGGACTTGCCATAGCAAAGCCAAGTTCAAAACCTGAGAACCAAACAAGTAGGAGAAATTAGAAAAGAAACAGACTTGCTGAGAATTGTTTGTTTCTCATTAAAAAAAACCCCAAAACTAACAAAGAAACCCAACCAAAAACCCACCAAAACAAAAACCCAAAACAAGAGCATGAACTGGATTTTTGTGGCCCTGTTATAAATCACGCAGTTTTCCGTAGTACCATTTTCACCAGAAAGATTAGCAAATAACATTTTTCCAATCCTGACCCCAATCCTTCAAACTTTTCCTCAAACATTTAAATATCATAGGAGTTTCTAAATGAACAACTAAAACCCCTTGCTCAGCTCAGACTTTTGTGTGACGTTTTCCCAAGAGCTCACTGAGGTAGATACCATTTTTTCCTGTAAAAATCCACTTACAGCCCATTACTAGTTCAAGAAGCTACTTGTTAATTTTATTACTTGCACAGCCCTGCACAACATTGTCTTTTTTTTTTCCCCTCTCATATGCAGGCCCTGAACAAAATTATTGGTGATATCAATCTTCAGTCTATAGGCAGGATCATCGTCTTCAGATCTTCAAAAAAGCTTGAACATAATAGGTGCATGTGAGACACATCTGGGACTTGGGTAAACAATCCTTTCTTTGGCAGGGTTAAGGACCCTTTAGGTCTCTGCCTCAGTGGCAGAGAGGAGACCAGAAGTGCTCTTCATGGGGAGGCTATCACTGCTTCAGCTAATGAAAACAGGAAGAGGTAACCTTCTCCCTCTCCACTCTGTGTCAAAGATTTCAGGTGGTTTACAGTGGCAGGGAAGTGCAGAAATTTCCCTAAACTTGTGCTGTTTGAACGGTAAATTCATCAGAGTAGAGCAGAAGGGCCACACATTCCCACCTCCTCAGCCATGTTGGGTTAACACAGCAGGACAAACGTACTGCAGCAGCCTGGCTGACAGCAGCTCGGGTGTTTTGCACAGAGCAAGCCAGGCAGCTCCTTGTCTGCTCTTAAAACTTGTCAAGGCCCAAACATAATGGAAGGCTCTCAACAGGCTCCACAAATATCTCTTAAAGGCAGAAATAAATTATTAAGCTCACTGAGAGACCTGCTGTAGTACGATAAAGCCCCAGCTCTGCAACAGGACCTGGGGAGATGACTGGCAAAGAGAGAAAAGAAACTTAAACTGCTACTGCAGTGTAAGCTAGGTAATCGATTCCTAGTAGCTCTGCAGAGGCAAAAGAGAGAAAACTACAAGGGTGTTTGCATATGCTAGGTGGCCTCTGCTGTCTAGCATTTAAAAAAAAAGCAGAATTTTGTGTCAAGTCAGAACATGAAAACCTAGCTACGTGCAATGTACCTGTCTCAGTTTAATGACCACACTTAAATTTAAGGTATTTTTCTATACCACGTTCCATAGTGAACGCCTAAATGTATCTAATAATATAAAAATATATATTTGATATCTGATCATATTTTCCTTTGATACTTTGATATAGCTGAGCCTGGAGGGCTGAGCAAAAACCTGTATTCGTATTCTACACCTACAGTTTGGAATGATTAAAACCAAAAAAGTTAAAGCTCTCAGTGCTATGTAGCACTGCTCTGGTCGTAGAGGTTCTGACTGAGGGAAAACTGATTCAATACACATAGAGAATAAATATTTGATGGATAAATATGTTTTATGTTGAAGTTTTTAAGTTCTGCACAGAATATAAAGATCTGCTTTCAAATACAGAACTGCAACACAGGAAGACTCTCATTGAAGGTAACCCCAGCAGAGCAACTAGCTTTGCTGTTGTAAAATTTTATTTAAAAAGCTATGATAATGACCTGTAACTCTTTCCTGAGTAATTGCAAGACTGTAAAAAAAACTCAGAGTGAACTAACAGATTGATATGGATTTCTTACCTCTTTCCAGTTTCTTTATTTTAAGATCTGCGCATGTAACCTAAGTTGCAGAGTCCCATCCCACTACCATTGATCTACATGGAACTCAGCTTCATGATTTTGCTATGTACAAGTTACCGTAATTCCCATTTTTGCCTGGTTTCCTTACTGTGACACGGTAGCTGCTCAAATGCCATTCTACAATATAGGCTTGATAATAAAACCAGCTTAGGTAAAATGAACAGTTTCTGGTAACAAAATATCTGTCCTGCTTAATTCATCCCACTGGGCCACAGCTTCCCCCCACCTCCAAACACCCACAAGAGTAGTGTACATTTAATTAAGACAGAAATGCACCCAAGCCTGGCATTTTGGTATGCAGAGAGAAATCCCTTCATATCTGAGAGGACAGTACACCTATCTAGATACTATGCATTAATTTGGGTTTCTCCTCCTTTTTTAACTTGCGGACATTCTCAGGAGTACAGGACAAAATATCAGTCTGTAAAACCTCATGCTGTGGATAGTACTCCCAAGACCCAAAGGGGGCTATAAGCCCAAATACAATCGTAAGTCAGGTACCTAATATGTCTCCTAAATATTGTATATCAGTAAAATCCAATGCTACTTTGTGACCACCAGTATTTAGTAAACTACAGTAAACTGTTGAAAAGCCATGATAAAACCCAAAGTCATTGGAACTATAGTTACTGACTCTGATCAAACTCACTATACAACTCTTCTAATTAGAAAAGTTTCAGGAACATCAAAAAACTCAGGCTTCCTGGAAGAGACAAACTTAGCATCTTGACATTCTCCACCCACAGAAGGCTACTGCTACAGGGTCACTAGCAAGTGATAGCTGACATCTCTCATATACTTACATTTGTGAGTTATACCCTGGTGACTGAAGGCTGCAGTCCCTCTAGGAGAGCCTCCCTTTGTGGAATTCAGTGGGTAAGAGAACTACTTCAAAGGGAACTATAATACCAAAAAACTATATAAGCAATAACAGAAAAATACCTAAAATACCTTTAAGATGGCCTGGCATTCCAGGCATTAAAAAAATTTAATATATTATGAGATAGAAAAGAACACGTGGTACGTACAGCATATAAGTTACTTTGATGTTATCAGTGCAAGGTAATTGACTTAGCTATGGAGGAAGATTTCAGGATCAAGTCAAACCTATTCAAACCTTCTTTGTCCTTTTTCAGTTTTGTTCAACTTACTACTTTATGTTCACTACCAGAGAGATACTCAGATCTCTAAGCTAAGATTGAGGTCTTCACGTGCTGGATGCCACAAACGTACACAAGTGGTTCCTTCCCTGAAAGTTTTACTGTCAAAAGTGGAAACCAAAAAAAGAAAGAAAAAAAAGAAAAAGAAAAGAAAAAAAGAGAGTGAAGGACAAGCATTTCCACCTTGCAAAACTGAGAACTAATGAACATGCAGTTACAGGAAGTTTAAACTAACTTGTCCAGTCCCACAAGGAAAACCCTGAACAAAACTAGCTGAGATTAGTCATGTATCAAATAACTCCCTCCATAACATGAACTACAAGAACATCCTCCCAACACTTGACATGGAGGTTTGACATAGGTCATCTATGCACAAAACTGAAATTGCTTTAGCTTAACATGATGACTACAGCTAAATTGGGACTACAGGATTTCTTTCTTCTGCTCCAGGAACAGACTCTTCAGTCAATGTCAGTATACAAACTTTCCTGGAAGGTTAATAGAGGGACAACTGCAGGACAAATTAACTGCATGAGAGAAAAAGCAACAAAGGCTTCAAGTGAAATTGTTTATTCACAAAGAAAACAGTTTTACATATTGTTTTTATAGTGTGTTTTCATATTCGACTCCGTGGTAATTCCAACCCAGCTTTTTGTTTACCATCTCCATGGCAAGAAATCTTTGAGTCACTTGGCTTCTGGACTGCTGAACTCTGAACAGTCCATCCATGACTCCAGCAGATGCTCATGTTCACACCAAAAGGCAACTAGTAAGTTAGAGGCCAGAAGGAGACTGATAAGTCAGACAGACGGCCTTTTGTTTGTGAGTCACCATGACAGTGCATTACCAAAGAGGATGGCTTTTGCTGACCATTCCTTTGGTCTGACTGCCTGAATGGCCTTTCTTTCAGAACACTTTTTAAATCTGTCCTCCTTATTTGTGTGATTCTATTGTTTTCAGCACAATGCAAACAGTGGAAAAATTTACACAACTCCTTCAATGTGTGTTCCCAAAGGTATCTGAAAAATAGATTTCCCTAGATAGGCTTGAATCCCATTCTAATTTTACACAAGCATTAAGAGACCATTTCCACTGATTGGGTGACATGGTTGAGAAAATATGCAATATGTTCAAGACTTATTTGTGCATATGCTGCTCTCTGTAAGGATGGAGCAATCTAGCTTTTAGAGAAGAACAAACTGAGGTCTTGACTGCTTGGAGTTATCAATAATCACACAGTGCTTTTCAAAGAGTATGGACCTCTATGCATATTTAAAACGTGGTCAGAGCACACAACATTCTGTTTCATATACCAAAATCACCCCTAAAATTCACATGGAAAAAACGAGTGTCATTTCTTATTTCCTATCTTGTTGCCCACTTTGTGCTAATAATCTCCACAAGGTGACAATATCCCAGGTGAAGCTGCATTGAAGGGTGTGATCCTAACACAGATACCTTTTGCAAGCTTTCTGACAGCCATAAAAATATCGGGGAAAAATATATCCAAATGTAATCTATACATTTTTATTAACATTTTGAAGTTAATTCTGCCAAGACTACTATTTCATGGAACATGTGTCTGTGGTATACCCATCTTTGGTAGAACTCATTTTCTACCAGGCAAATGACGAGCTCCTAACATTAAAGCTATTCCATCAGTGATTATAGCAATTGCTAGGGAGTCTGTCAAGAATTACTGCTCCTACCTGCATGTGGAGAAAATAGTTTAAAGAGCAAGATCTGAGCTGCTAAATTAAAAAAAAAAAAAAAATTATTGGTGGAAAGACGTTCAGACAGATGCAAGGTGAACAACCCAGGAGAGGGTGAGGTGCTTCTCCTGAGAGGGATTTTTTGGGGCACCAGATGAGTCAAGGTCAGGGAAGGTGACCCAAGCTAGAAAGACT